TAAATGTCGCAGATCATAATGAAATCAGATTAAAATGAAATGAGGGATTTCTATTTGACCCTCTAAAACCCATTTATACTTGTTTATTATAAAACCTGCTCATTTCATTTTAATCTGATTTTATTTAATCTAAGAATAAATGTTCTTGTAACAACCTGTTACATGTAACAACCTCTTATTAGCCAATAGTAATTAGAGTTAGGGTTTGGGTTATACAAATATTTGTTGGTTGCACTAATTAAGTTGTTACAAATAAGCGTGTAACAGGTTGTTACAATTAGATTCGTCCAATAAATAAAATCTATTAATTTGAAATCGTTTAATAAAGAATGTAGAGATATGAAAAATAAAGCGTAAAGTTATAAAATAAGTTCGTCAAAAATTTATGAACGTTGACAACAGATGTGAAGATATATAGATTTTTATACCCATTACAAAAATTTGCAATCCGAAATCGTTATCATTTATAGTGAGCTAGAAAATAAAGATTACAGAAGAACCTAAATAGTGCAATACTGATCGTAATAATTATAACGGAACACGAAAATCCTAATTTACTGTTTATTAATCATATTATACAGCCTTCACGACGAAAGAAATGGTTTTAGAGTACACATTCAGTCATACACGCGATCGTCCATACCCTCGCCTCAGTTGAAACACCCATAAATAATGCTCTATATACAATCTTATTCACTATTTCTATATCATTTCCGTCACTGCTAACCACCATTTCAAACAACATTCTGATAATTTGTTTATAAATTCTGATTAAATTAGAATCAAGTATGTATAGTCCTTCTAAATGATCTGCTAGTGAAGGATATAAATTATGAACTATATTTATGGGGAGGCTTGGTGATTCATCGATGTTAAGTTTGGATTTGAGATGTATTTCACATTTTTCAAGTAGTGATAAAATACACGATATATGATACGATGTGAAAATCCGATTAGGAGTCGATGAAATTAACATAAGGTAGTGAAAAGTTCTAATAATTGCGTTAAGGTAATTAAGTGTCCACAAAGTTGTCTCTTCTTTCACTGTATATGGGTCTAATAAATAAGGTGTTAGCATTAAAATCTTTAAATTTAACATGTATTTATTAGCTAAAAAGTTATGAATGAAAACATACCGAAGAATTTTAACACACTAGTCACAATCATTATGGCTTGATCTATCAGAACACCTTTTGACCATTGCAATGTCGAATTCTTACAACCTTGTAATACCCGGAGTAGTATTCGTATTCCAAAAAATGTTGGTTCATTCACCAATGGAGAATGTGGCAATGCAAAACATAAATGTTGTAACCACGTTAAAAGTCCTCTGTTTTTGACCATGTCAGTGATAGCTTGTGGAATGGATGCTGATTGGAATAATATCTATTTACGGATATTTTATTGTTAATGAATCAAATTATATATAATAAGTTAATTTTCATTTTGACACATAAATCTCTTAAATAATTCTTACCTCAATGATAAGTTTACGACTAATATTGTCAGCAAGAGGTGAATTATAATAACTAGAAATAACATCCCATACATATCTCCTTCTAAAGATCTTATAATCCTAATGAACGGGAAAATGAATAAGTACCATTATAAACACTGAAATGAAATTAAATCAAAAAAAAATTTACTTCATGAGTTTTTAATCCAGCGGACAAAAGTCTCAGAATCCATACTCTTTCTTTTTGATAATTCTTGGAAGACGTATGAAATAGACTATAAAACATCGGCACATCCTATATTTATTAAATTTTCATATAAGATAAATGGTTCAACTGATGTGAATCTAATTTTAGATGCATTTTTACCTCTAAATCCAATATTGGTCTTTGTAACAAAAACCTATTAATCATCGGATACATGAAATGGGCAGGATTTGTGAAAACGTTTAATGCATGTGCAATAAATACTGAGATAATTGTAGGAATTCGTTGAAGTGGCTTATTTTCATTATCACGATCCACAATTGAATTCTTCAATGAATTGAGTAACAACAATATCTGACTCTTCTCCCGAAAGGTAGCGTGCTGTAATGGAATAGGTAAGCCATTTAATCTTTCGGCATGATGGAATATTAAATCATATTTTATATTCATTAAATCAAAAAGCTTGCCTCCAATAAACCATAAAATTCATCCATCAAATAATATCCTGCTCTTCTCACATTTTCTACAGTAGATGATAATGAAACGACAATAAATCCTAACGCATTGATTTCAATGAATCTTCTGACATCCAATAAATTTCCATATGATAACAAATTTGAAAATAATGGTAAGAAATATGATGGATCGTATACTGGTAAATCTTGTTCCCATTTAAAAGAATCTTCGATTAAACCACTTTTTAAGCAAGATGTAGTTTCTGTTAAACTCAAGGGCACTTCCAATTCTTTATCAATTGGGAAGTGGGTATAACTTTGCATCATTATAATGGGATCAATTAGATCTAATGATTCAACAAGAATTCTTTGTCCCATCAAGCTTCGTCTGTCAAATTGGCGGACCGCTCCAGGTCCCCACATCATAGCACTGGATACAATCGAAGTACTAGATGACTTCTCATACAAGATGAATATGTTAAGGAGCAATTGATCAGCAAGTGAAGTGGATGCGCCGTAGCATGACAAGAGGACATTCAAATACGAAGGTTTACAACATGTTTTAGGATT